TCCTTTGGAAAGTCAAAACTTCAGTCATAAATTGTTGGTTAGAGCACACTAATAAGTATTCACTACAGGTAGTCCTCGACTTACAACAGTTCATTTAGTGACTGTTCAAAGTTACAACGGCACTGAAAAAAGTGACGACCATTTTTCACACTTATGACTTTTGTAGCATCCCCACGATCATATGATCAAAATCCGGATGCTTTGCAAGTGACTCATACTTATGACTGTTGCTGTGTCCCAAAGTCACGTGATCATGTGACCTTTTTAGAAGCAAAGTCAATGGGAAAGCCAGATTCACTTAACAACCGTTTTACTAACTTACCAACTGTTGTGATTCACTTAACAACCATGGCAAGAAAGGTTGTAAAATGGGGTCAACCTCACTTAACAAATGTCTCACTTCACAACACAAATTGTGGGCTCAATTGTGGTTGTTAAGTCGAGGACTGCCTGTAAAGCCTTGCATTTCACAAACAATATTAATATAATCTTTTCTCACATCAACTGAAATGAAAGAACAAATACCAAAGAACATGTCAGAGTTTCAAGCACATTGGTACTGCCATTTGTTGGTACCTATAACATTGGTAGTATTACTTTTCACCCAACATTTTATGTTAGTATAAGCAGGAATATGATTAATTTATTACTTCACAAAATTAATTCAACTGAATTCTTATTCCAATGCTTCACACATAGCTAAGTCCATAAATCAAAAATAGATTTCTAGATATATTATATGAAAGGTAACATAATAGCAATTTTATATTTATCTACAAATTATAATAGGAAAAATGCTTTAAAATCATGCTTTGATTCTATAAAACAATCTCCAAATGGAATTTTGAAACCTTTGGATGAACACAGAAAGGAATTGCTAGAGTGACTATAAAAGTGCTTATTTTCTTTTTTAAAAAATAAATACTTTTAATTTCATAAAGTTCATTCATATGCTGCTAAATTGTTGAAGTTATTGGTAGAACAATAAAATTGGAATTAAAAAAAATAAGAACATTGTACTGAACAACATAGCAGAGCTAAGAGGGGCATTCCATGGAATACATGTTGTCAATCAATCTTCATGCAGATTGTAAGAGACAGTGGGGGAGAGTTTATCCAAGATTCAGCAGAGGTTTTACAAAGTCACTGCATTGAGGAACAACCTGACGGCTGGAAAATGGCCAACCTAATGTCATTATTTAAGATAGGATCTGGGAACACTTCAGGAAATTACAGACCATTTAGTTTTGATTCCTTTGTGGCAGGGGGGAGAGGTCTTAAAAAGCATTTTAGGAGATTAAATGGAGACATTTAGAAAAGCACAGCTTGATTAAGGATAGCCAGTGCGGTCTCAGGAATGAAGAGTCATGCTTCACTAACTTCTGGATTCTTTAAGGGTAAGAATAACAAGAGAAATGAAGTAGATGCCACAGACATTTAAAACACAAGTTCAGGGGAACATTAAAAAAAACAACCCAGAAATTTGTACATGTGGAAGTTATGTATATTGAATAGAGACATGTGAAGAGAATATTTTTTAAAAGAATAACACAGGTATTCTTCACCCAGACCCCCTAAAACCACATTAATATATTTTAAAATGGCAAGATAATAAAAAGAAGCAGAGTGATAGAAGAAGATGGTTTTGAACAGTAATAATTACACTATTAAATTAATGTTAAATATTAAAAGGTGAAGCATAATAAGTCCATATCTTACTCAACCTTGGAATGGTTTTCTAAGTAGGCCACTGCTACAGTAGTAACTGTGAGAGGAACCTCGGAGTCCTAGTGGACAATCACTTAAATATGAGCCAGCAGTGTGCTGCAGCTGCCAAAAAGGCCAACACAGTGCTGGGCTGCATTAACAGAGGGATAGAATCAAGATCACGTGAAGTATTAATACCACTCTACAATGCCTTAGTAAGGCCACACTTGGAATACTGCATCCAGTTTTGGTCACCACGATGTAAAAAAGATGTTGAGACTCTAGAAAGAGTACAGAGAAGAGCAACAAAGATGATCAGGGACTGGAGGCCAAAGCATATAAGGAAAGGCTGCTGGAATTGGGTATGTCTAGTTTAATGAAGAGAAGGACGAGGGGGGACATGATAGCAGTATTCCAATATCTCAGGGGCTGCCACAAAGAAGAGGGAATCAAGCTATTTTCCAAGGCGCCTGAAGGCAGGACAAGAAACAACGGATGGAAACTAATCAAGGAGAGAAGCAACCTAGAACTAAGGAGAAACTTCCTGACAGTTAGAACAATTAACCAGTGGAACAACCTGCCACCAGAAGTGGTGAATGCTCCAACACTGGAAGTTTTTAAGAAGAGACTGGACAGCCATTTGTCTGAAATGGGTTTCCTGCATGAGCAGGGGGTTGGACTAGATGACCTCCAAGGTCCCTTCCAACTTTATTATTATTATTATTATTATTATTATTATTATTATTATTATTATTATTATTATTATTATTACTACTACTACTACTACTACTACTACTATTATTATTATTATTATTATTATTATTATTATTATTATTATTATTATTATTTATCCAAGGCCATCAAACAGTATTAGCTGGGATTTGAACTGATGTACAGTACCAATCAATATAACAGACAACCCCTTCCAAAAGAATTAGGCCACATATGAGCCAACTAAATAAATTTTACAGCATTCTGAAACTGTATCGGCTTCCTAAAACATTGTCCTGTCTTTCTGCACTCCTCATCAATATCTCTTGGCTTCAGGGAAATAATACACCAAGAAATAATAGTTTGCTCCTGTTTAAGGTCATTGGCATCTGCTGCTGAAATGACCTCCTCTGTGGACCATGTGGAGTTTCCCAAAAGTCCCACATCTAGAAGCTGCATGAGGTAAATATGAAAAATATACCTTTAGGATTTGAAATAACATAATGGATATGGGGAAAAGAAGGAAGGAAGGAAGGAAGGAAGGAAGGAAGGAAGGAAGGAAGGAAGGAAGGAAGGAAGGAAGGAAGGAAGGGCAAAATAATGGTATGGATTGTGCTTGAGAGGGACACTGAAATAGTCATGGCCTTATTTCTTTTCTGAAATGTTGGCAACTTGACAATTCTAGAAAAGAAATGTGTGTGCGCGCACACACACACACACACATGTTTTAGTGCTTGTTTTTAAACATAACTGGCTTATAAAAGTTGTATGAATTAAAAACATTTCTGGGTTATATTTTTCCTGACTTCACATGCAGATTTCAGTGATATTTATTCCTCCAAAACAAAAGCTTCATTTTGGTTTCTCTCTGGTTTCTGGTTTCACGTTCTGCTTTCATCTGGTTTCTCTTCAGATTGTATAAATCGTTCGCTTTTTACTAAAGAGTTCCATGGGGAGGAACATTTATGATGATGTGGTTTTGTCAGTGGGCCTGGGGACCCCAAATGGCAATGGAGCTGATCAAGTGGTTGATTTGATTAGGTTGCTCCTGCCATGGGATGGCCTGAGGTAGGGTGGGATTTTTATATTATGGATTTTAATGTTGCAAGCCAGCCAGAGGCACCTGTGTGAGTTGGACACCATATAAATTTGTTGACAAATAAATAAATGTTTAACTTTTGCTTATTATTAAGAAATTATTGGGATTCTCTCTAAATTGGATTTATCAGTCTTTGAAAAATATATCCTTCTATGTGCTCAAAGCCAAAATATTAATTCAAAAGCAATATATCAACCAACTATATTAAGGACCTCCAAGCAGACCACAAATTTTCATCTGCTGAACGTAAAGCTAAATGGAAATCAAAGAAAGAGAAAGTAATGACTGAAAATATACTGTTACTGAGCTTATTGTACATATGAAGCTTTTAAAATGATCATAAGTCTCTACATGATTGTGCTCTTGATCAAAGCAAGTCTGAGTTTGTACTTTTACATTGCTCACTTAATGGAAATTATTATGTATTAGGCAGGCAGATATAATTTGTTCAGCAATATATTCTGACCAATTCTTAAATGTCCCTTCACCTAACACATGGAGGCAGTTTCAATATGACTTGAAGGAGAAAATACAAGTACTTCCATATTATCATAGAAACAGCCTTAAAATTATGGTTCAGTCCAGAATCTTTTTGATAGATATACATATATTATAAAATATTACAGTTATTGATTTTAAGACCTTAATATGTAACATTATTTCAGTCTACAAGTTATTTCCTGTCCTTGACTAGTGCTCATGTAGCATTGCCAGCAAAGTCTGCATTTCTAAGCAAAGTATTGACTGTTCCGAAGTACTGCAGCAAATACATGGAGAAACTATTGTGTTCTATATTAATCATACAACATATCCAGAGATGTACATATCAATATAACTATGCATATTATTAT